GCCGCAATTCCTCATGTGTCGTTTTTGTTCCCGTTTACCCGCACTAACGGGCAGCCCTTCAAAAACATCTCCTTGCACTGTGTGTGTTCACTTGCCGCCCCGGTGGTGCGTGTCCACAGTGAAGTGATAGAGTGGGCTTGGACCATGTAGGGTTTCAATGCCCACGCTGGTTACTTTCTTCGTTCACAACGACGTGATACAGCAGGCCGGCACTCCTCTCCAGATAAGAGATAGAGTGGGCTTGCAGTGTAAGAGTTTCAGTGCCCAATGCACCAGGGTGGGCCATTGCTGGAGCTGGTGCCTGGTGCCAGTTCTGTCCGTCATTGTGTGTGAGTGAAACCCTCGGCACTGCTCACACAGCTCCACGCATCCATGAGCAGTCCTGTACACGGCGTGGCAGTAAGGGGGGGGGCTTACTTCCACCCCTGCAAGGAGGGCATCGATTTCCTACCAGTAGTAATGCAGCATATTGCTTGGCAATCTGTGCATTACTGTGATTGGCTTTTCCTGTTCTTTTTCTTTGTGAAGTTGTGCATAGCAGATATGGCAGACACACAGACACACACGCACACCTCCCGACCGCTTCCCTCTGCTCTCTCTCTCTCTCTCTCTCTCTCTCTCTCTCTCTCTCTCTCTCCCGATGTGTGTGTGTGTGTCCGGACACACACACACACACACACACACACACACACACACACACACACACACACACACACACACGGGCGGGAGGCACACACACACACACACACACACACACACACACACACACACACACACACACACTCACACACACGCAGTCAATCAATCAATCAATCAATCACCTAAATCAAGATCGTAGGAGACCTCCGATCTTGATTTATCATTTATGTGATTGATTCATTGGTTGATTGATTGATTGATTGATTGATTGATTGGTTTTGTGTGTGTGTGTGTGTGTGTGTGTGTGTGTGTGTGATTTCGCCTGTTCAGGGTTTTTTTTTTCTTCTTTTTTTTTCGTCGTTCATTTCTCCACTCACGTGTTTAATCAATCATGCACACGCACACGCACACACACACACACCCACACACACACACACACAGACACACACACACAATCAATCAATCAATCAATCAATCATCCGATATCTTTTTTCTTTGTTATTTTTTTTAAACAGGTTATCGTGGGCGGTGTCTGTCCATGGACAGAGATAGAGAGAGAGAGAGAGAGAGAGAGAGAGAGAGAGAGAGAGAGAGAGAGAGAGAGAGAGAGAGAGAGAGAGAGAGAGAGAGAGAGAGNGAGAGAGAGAGAGAGAGAGAGAGAGAGAGAGAGAGAGAGAGAGAGAGAGAGAGAGAGAGAGAGAGAGAGCTGCCGATGAGGGACCACCATCTTGCACCCGCCGCCGCCATCGACGCCTGACACCCCCTCTGCACCTTTGCGCTAGCCGCCAACTCCACTGATTCCCGTCCTGGCCTCCGCGGGCAAGATCCCAACCGCAGCGGGCGCAGTTCCGGCCGCCACGGGCACGGTCCCGACCGCAGTGGCCACGTTTCCGTCCGCGGCGTGACGACAGGGGGGTGAAACACGTTGTCCTGGGTCCTGGGGCCTAAGGCGTCAACCGTGCTGCCGCTTGGCGGGGGGAGGGGGGGGGGRGACTTGGACGCGGGGAATACGACATCAACGGACTGCGACGACTTGAGGGGCGACATCGGGGGACGACATCGGCGGCTAGACCGGGGGGGACGAGGCGTTTGTTTAAAATGACTCGGGGGCAGTTGGTTCGGGGGGAGCAGATTTTATCCCTATTTCGAACGCTGAGATGGCGAAGCTAAGGAGGGCCTCATACGCTGGGGCAACCGGTGGTCACATGGGAGAAGATGCACGGTGACCGCAAGTTGTGATGCAACTTGTGCAAGCACCTGTGGCAGGGGAACCAGTCGAAGGCTGCAAGGCACTTTTGCCAGTTGAAGAAGTTCCCTGTTGCCCAGTTCGACGTGCTCGTTGACATTTGGAACGACACGGACTACAAATTCAATGACCGACATCACACATTCATTCCTGCGTACATCCATGAGCACGGCATAAGAGACTCGCGAGCAGTTGCAGGAGGTGCACAGTCGCGAGCGTCACCTTCCACTGCAGGCCGGGATGAAATGTAGGACGTGCTTGATGAGATGGAGTTGCCTGGGGAGGAGGTCATGATGACGTCCCGTGGGGATGACCCCACGAGGCGACAGGGGAAAAGGCCGATGGGGGAGGCCGACCAGGTTGCGACCCGATCGGGAAAAAGGGTTCGCCAGAGCAAGATCGACGAGGTCCACGATGCAGATGAGCAGTCGGTCTTCAAGGACAAGTTTCTGCAGTGGATCTACGATTGGGGTATTCCATTCAACGCCTTCAGGAGGTAGTCGTGGAGAGAGGTCCGGAAGGCGGCGGATGAGATCCTTAGACGAGTGCGGATGCGATTTCCTCCCTTCAAGGAAATCAGCGGTGATGGAGTTCCTTCGCAGAGGGTGAAGGTGGCGACTTTGCTACGGGAGGTCCCAGAGTCGCTATATCACAGCGGCGCCACCATCTTGTCGAATGGTAAGAAATCGTGTGATTTGTGACCCATCGTGAACTTCCTTGTCGCGGGTGCAAATGGCGCCCTGCTCTATGCCACCATTTCTCGCGACGGTTCTGTACCGGAGACGGGTGCCATTGTTTTTCGCAGGTAGAGGGTCATCATTGAGTCCTTCTCTGAGAAGGACGTCATAGCTGTCTGCACGGACTCCGCTAGTAACTACACAGCGACCGCCCGTTTGCTCACCGCAGACCCTGATCTAGCGGTCCGACACATCACTTGGCTCCCCTGCTCGACCCATGTCTGCAACTTGATGCTGTCAGACATTGGGACACGAGTGAGGAGTGGGTTGGGCAGTTGACACCATCATCCGTGCACAAACGATGGTGCGATTTATTAAATTGCACGGCGCAGCTCTCGCCCTTTACAAGAGGAAGAGCCCACGCGTTTCACTCGTCCTCCCAGTTGAGACTCGTTTCGATTCAATTTTCATGATGTTGAATTGTCTCCTTGGAAGACGCGAGCCGTTGGAGGCGATGCTGCATGACGACGCTTGGGCGAGTATCCTGTGGGAGCGGAGGCTGCTGCCCCAGGCGAGATGGGTGCGTCTCTTGATTCGAGATGGCGAGTTCAGACGACTTGTGAAGTTCTTGATCCGTGTGATGGATCCCATCCATCAGCTCCTGAGGTGGATGGACAGAGGAGGGATGATGATGTCCATCGTCCACGAGTGGAGCCGTCATCTCATTCAGCTTCCGATGAAGATGGACGATGTGACGATTGATCTTCTGACTCCGTGTGTGCGAGAGGTCAGGATGCAGCTCATGCACTTGTTGGAGCCCTCGCACACTGCCGCTCATCTCCTAAACCCTCGTCGACGGTCCTTAAGGTACGACGAGTCCCTCCACACCACGACGGAGGATGCGAAGGTTGTACAGGAGTGTGATCGTTTTCTCCACGCCCAGATTGGAGGTGATCTGACAGGCAGGGATTACCTCGTTGTTCGTGACCAGCTGAGTTGATTCCATGCGAGCAGAGGAGACTGGGGTGATTGGCTAGTATCGGATGCCAAGGCGAAAGATTCTCAAGGAGATCAGGGGACGCACCATTGCGCGGCATGGTGGTTTGCTTACGGGACTGCCCACCCAGAGTTACGTGCTATCGCTATCTGTGTGATGCACATGTTGACGTCAGCCTCTCCTGCGAAGAGGAATTGGGTGGCCCACGAGCGCATTCAGACCACAAAATGGAGCAATCTTGGCTTCGCCAAGCTGGTACAACTGGTTGAGATTACGACAAATCTCAAACTGGCTTCATGTAGGCATCAGGGTGGGGGGTATGTGCTTTCGTGGGTCATGGATGGCGTCGACACCGAGAGACGGTGACCCCGAGCCTGATGTCTGGGAGGTGAGACGTATTGGTACCTTCAGCGATTGAGAGATCAGGAGGAAGATTGAGGTCTTTTACAAGGACGACACAAGCCGTCCACGAGAGGTTTCAACCGTCTTCGGGGATAAGGCAGCCACTCTGCTCCCTTTCGACCATGTGCCTCCTCCCCCATCCCGGGGAGTAGGAGAGGGTTCTGCGGCAGTCGATCAGGATGGAGAGGACGATTGGACGGATGCAGAGGACATTGTGGGGGGCACAGACAGGACAGCGAAGCAGGTTTACTTCACGTATGGGGGCGAATCGGACGGCCATGTACCGCGGACGTTCGTCATCACGGACGATGTTGCATGCAGGGTGCAGGGTAGCGCCACTCGACGACCTCAAGCGGGTCAAGGTCGTAGCGTCATTGCTCGCAACGTTTCCCCGCACGCGAGGAGAGTTTTAGGGGTGGACTCAAGCGGGGAGGACGAGGGCGAGGCATGTGACGCTGACCACCTTCGGGACCCTCGGTTCAATTCGAGCCACCACTCTAGGGAGCAGTCAGAGCAGCTTCGGCGGTCGCACAGGTTGGCAGAGCATAGTGGTCCGGCGTCTCAGCAGCCTTAGGACATACCGGCAGTGGAGGAGACTCCGTCACACAGCGGCCCCGCTCAGGCCGCGACATCGGACCTGCACACCAGCGATTTCGATATTGCGGGTTCGCATGGGGGCTCGCCCATCTTACGATGCAGAGTGGGTGATTGAGCTGAGTACAGGACGGATGTCAGGCAGAGGGAGGAAACAGTTGAGGAGAGGGACACTCGCCTGGATCGTGAGGAGGAGGCACGGTTATGTCCATGCATCGATGGGCTGGCAGAGAGGCGTATGAAGCCTAGCATCGGAGGCAGAGGGAGCTAGAGACGATAGGAGCGGGTTCACCATCGAGCGTCGGACCATTGCCAACTTCAGGCATGATGCAGCCCCCCTCCCATGCTGGGGGTGCTGGTGCTGACACATGCGGATTGGATGCTGACGACGGGGGGCTGGCATATGTGCGATGTGAGGGTGGTGATGTTGGGGTCTTGAGACAGTCGGGGCAGATTCACGAGCTGAGAGCTCCGACGATGGCGAGAAGTGTGAGGCCGCAGAGGCTATCGTACACGAACGCTGTAGTTGGCATATGCGCGGCTGGCACAGATGGCGGGATTCATGGAGGGGAGGAGGAGATGGTGGACAAGGGCAGTGCGCCTTTGGATGTTGACGCAACACATGTTGACGAGGAGGGAGCAACGGTCCACGCAGGTCACAATGCCCCGTCGCTGCAAGATGGCGAGACCGGAGGGCACGTTGAGCAGGAGGGAGCGACCGTCGATATGTCCTTGCGATTATTGTTAGGCCCCTGTCGGTGCGAGATGTCGAGATTGGAGAACATATTGACTCTTGACTTGGGACGCCCGGTCTCTTTCTCTGCAGGTGGGTATTCCGGGGAGATGCCTCGGTGGGATGGCGGGGAACTGGGGGAGTGGACACCGACCCCTTTACATCCAGAGCAGCTGGAGAGGTTGGGGACGGAGGACCCTTTCCCGTTCACCGATGGACAGCCGTCGCCTCCCGCATGGACACCAGTGAGCCCTAGGTGGACTGGATCATCGTTGTCCGACATCCGCGAGCGGGAGTCCGTGGACAGACAGGCGACAGTGTTTTCAGGCGGGGTTGCCAGCAGCCATGTGCAGACACCGCTAAGCCCTTTACCTCGAGCATTGCATCAGGGACTGGCGCTGGCCACAGGTCTTCCATCGACTGGTGGTCGAGGCAGCGGGCGGGGACTTCTTCAAGTCATCGAGGTGGCGTTTTTGGGCAATGGTCGTCTTGCAGGCGAGTGACGGACCGTTTGAGGAGGGACTACGATAGAGGACAGGGGCTGTTCACACGAGACCATCAGGGGAGGGAGGGCCTGCAGCGGGTGCGACTGAGGCTGGACGACCGAGTGTCCACACAACAGGACGTATACTCGGATTGGATAGAGTTGGGACGAGGAGGACCGAGAGGATGGTGCCGCATCCGGCCCGATCAGCCATGGAAGATAGACGACAAGGAGTGCCGTACACATTGGGCGAGGATGACTTGCATATGCCACAGGGGTCAAGACGTCATGGCTCGATCATTGATCTTGAGACGCAGATTGCTGCTGAGGAGCAGCGGTTGGCGGAGATGATTCGAGAGCGTGAGAGGAGGCCAGAGACGGAGGCACAGGCCGAGGAGGCAGACACGGAGACTGAGTCCATCGAGACAGTTGTGCGCAGAGAGAGGCATCGGAGAGCAGTGGCCGCGGCAGGCTCACAACTTGCACCCGTAGGGAGAGATAGAGCACCACAGGGTAGGGGTCAAAGTGGGCAGAGAGGAGCATGGGCAGGGAGAGGGAGCAAAGCACGTCACAACACTCATACTAGGCGCAATAGCAGGAGTTAGGGACTTGTGTAGTAGGGTAGATTAATTTTTTACTTTAATTTTTTTGTATATTATCTTTATTTTATTTGTACATTACGTTCATGTTCTTTGTTGTTAGGTTTCAGACTTGCCCTACGTTGTTAGTTGTACATGGTTGTAGTAGTTGTTTCTTACACAACGTCATTAGTTATGGTTTTCTTGAAAACTGTGGATGTTTGGCGAGGTTGTCATGTTGACTGTGTTGTCATTTCGTCGTACTCACATCATGTTTGTCAGTGCTATGTTTGTATCATGTAATGGTGTTTCTGTGTGTGTTGTATTGTCCTTATGTCTATCAAATCCAATCCCCTCCCAATTAATGTCCCTCCACAAAAGCCTTTCAACCAACATGCCCTCTCTCTCTGCCCCCTCCCAATGAATGACACCCAGCAACACCCTCCCAACGAATGACTCCCCCACCCTATCAAACCCCCAAACCATCACAGAAGAAAAGGGAAAAAAACATTGTGTGTTGTGCAAGTGGAACCCCCAAAACCCAAGCCTGCTTTCTGGTTTTATTGTCCTTATGTGTATAAAGTACTATAAACCCTAATCCTCTCCCAATGATTCACCCCCGCCAACCCGCTTCCAACCAATGAGTTGAATGAGTCCTCTCTCTCTGCCCCCCCCCCCCCCCCCCCCCCCCCCCCCCCCCCCGACCCCCCCCTAATGAATGGGCCCCCGGTCCCCGACCAAGTTACCAACACCTTCCGAACAAATGACCCCCCCACCCTCTCCAACCCCTAAACCACCCCCCCCCTCCGAAAAAAAATTAAAATTTATGACTGTGTACATGAAGTGGACCCCCCAAAACCCAAGTCTGCACCGTCGAAATTGAAAAAAGGGGGTCCCTTATTTTTTAACCCTTCCCAAAACACACCCCAATTTGGACCCCCCCGTTTTAAACTTTTTTTTTGTTTTTGTTTTTATGGGGGGGTGTCGGGCCTCAGTTGCGCCTCCGGAATCCTGACCCCGACTTCGAGTACCCACGCTCCCACGCCCGCGGCGTGCCTTCCTCGACCGCGACCTCGGTGGTCATGATCGCGGGCCCGCGGCCTCAACCGCGGGCCGCAGTCATGCCCGCGGTGACTGCGGCCGCGGGGGATACATAGGCGTCAGATAACTCGTCTTTACCTAGACTGTCCTCTGGAAGTCTTATTTGTTGTACAATAAGACTCTCATCCTCTCTTCTCATTTGTGCCTTAATTTGAGAAAAAACATTAAACGTACGTTGCAGAATTTGAATTTCTACCTCCACCTAGTCTTCCTTTGTATTAAACAGATCTCTTACTTCCTGCCATGACGTCCAAATCTTTCAGTAACGACACATTCAACTTATAATAAGACGGTATCTTTTTAGTAGCTTCACTGATTCGAAATTCCCCTACCACAGGTATGTGGTCAGACATGTCTGAGAACAAAATATCCACAGCAATGCACTCTTGCAATTGATGACCTTTCATCAACAGATAGTCTAGTCTTTTGCGAGCTGGAGGGGTCTGTGACCCGAACCAAGTGTACTCCTGCAAAATGGGGTTTAATACCTTAAAACCATCCACCAGATCTTGGGAAATCATTAAGCTTTGTAATAATTTACTGTCGGCTCTGATTGGTCCCGCTCTGTTCAATCCTGGATCAGTGTGGTATTCCAGTCTACTGCAATGATTAGGTTGTCTGAGTCTAGTATAATTCCCGGTAATTCGACAATGAAATTTATCTTTTCGTTGTAATCTGTAGGCACATAAATTGACGTTACAGTCCATGATGTCCATCCCACCTCAAACTTAACCCTTTTTTTTTTTTTTTTTTAATTATCGGAAGGCCCTTGTGCAAGACCTCTATCCTGTTGGTGGTAAGAGAACCACCGGGATTGAGGCTTTGCCTAGCGGGCCGCTCCATCTATTGGTGGGGAGCAACACCTGCTGGAAACCGGGTCCAACGTCCCATAAATACGTCTTTGCTACACAGTACATCAATGAGAGTGATGCCAAAGTGCTGGAAACCGGGTCCAGCGTCCCATATCCACTCTACTCTTCCATACCTAACCTGCAGCAGGGTCGGGGGACCACCGGGGGGCACCAGTGGAGTCTCGCTCCATCCCATAGCATCTGCCATCCACCCACTATCCTCATGGAGCCCATTGTACTCTGCAATAGCATGTGTTTTGAAAAAGCTGAAGAAACAGAAAAACAGGCTGCAGTGAAATCAGTTGAAATCAGCCAGAAGCAGCTGAAATCTTTTTGAGAAATACAGAAGAATACTAAAAATTTATGAGAATTACTGGAAGGATACTACAACAAAACTTCACTGAGAGACAGGCCCACAAGGTGCCTATTGTATCACATTGCTAAACATTATATTCTTCTACGAGACTATGTTACAATTTGTAACCAGGTCCAAACCACCAACGTATTCAGACTGGGCAAGACTATTGAAGAATGTTGAAGACTATTGAGAAGGAGATGAAAGAGAGAAAAATAAATGAAGGAAGGAGATGAAGGAGATAAGAGAAACAAGGGGGAAAAAACGGAAGAACGAAGGAAAGAAAGACAGACAAAGGCATAAAGGAGAAGACAGTGGCCCAAAAGATGCCATTAGGAGGGCTTGATAACAAATGTTACATGCTGGGTCCCTTGGCTTATGCAGGCAGCAAAAATTCTGTTAAGGAGAGTGGGTGGGGGGGGAAGGGGTCCGCAAAGTCCTCAGCTGCCCTTAATGATTCTCCAGGGTCTACTCTGGTCCAATCATGGAAGATCAGTCGGTAATCCCTTTCTATCTCTATCCCCGGTTCCTCCTGTAATCCCTTTCTCCAGGGTCTACTCTAGTCCAATCATGACTGATCGCTCCTGGACCATTTTACCTCGGCCACCCATCCCTCCCTTTCCCTTCCCAGCCAATTCTTGCCGAAGCAAGAAATAGTTTTGTTTATGTCCCCCAGTTGTGCATTTGGTCAAGCTTGTCTTTAACAGCCTTTCGTTGGGTCACAATTTCGTGTTGGAATAATGTCTTGATCTGTTCCATAACTTCTTCATCCTCTACCCGCACCCCTTCTATCTCAAGGATACATCTTTTCCACCATATGGTCCACAGGACGCTCCTTCTTCCCAAGTTGAACATGTTCTCCTCAAAGATATTCTCCCGAATTTGCGGGTAGTACCCCAGGAGTATAGCCCTCCAATCCCATRGYCATTCCGCGCCGGGAACAATATGCCTCCAGATCCTATCCCARGTTCTCCACAGAAGTACTGACSCAGGGCAMTGAAGAAAGATGTGTTCAATAGTTTCAGCCCGCCTCCTCCCAGGGTAGCTCTGGAGGCATTTACGACACCATGGCAGCGCCTTCCCTTGTTGTTCCAGGTGGGTGTGGTCTATCAACCAGTCGTTAGTAGGTAAACATCTGTGTTCTATTTGCCATTGGAGGGCAGAGATTTTTGCGGGTCTGCAACTATACTGTGCAAACCATCGAATGGGCTTGAGTAGGCTGCGATCAATATTAAGATGGCGGTACCATCTGTCTTCCACACGATTTTGCAGCCCCTTTTGGGTCTGAGCATACGGTAGGCTGATTTAGATTTTAGGTTGTATAGTGATAGCGTGTCAGCCCCCCCCTTTCTAGGCCTGGTACCTTGGGTTTATTTTCACTCGTCGGGGTCCAAGGGGAGGTCCTCGATCGGGATCATTGGGCGATACACTTTTTGGCGACATCCTTCCTCAATGATCCTGATGCGATAGACCCCTTTTTGCTGCTTCCATACGAAGGGTTGTTCGTTCCATTCTAACCCATCATCCTTTTGAATGAAAAAAAATTCAATTAATACGTAAGTTGGATCTGTCAAGTGCACCCCCCCCACTTCCATGTTATGGTCAGGCAGCCCCACCCAATCTCCCTCCTTTACACAGGGGTCTTTTCCGAGGGTAGTGTACCAGTGCAGGGAAAAACTATCAATGAGTTTGTTTAGTGTTTTTTCAGTGAGATGGCAGTACCGCAGCCAAGCTCGCATCTATCCCGTGTTCTTCCAACTCCTTGCCTCCTGGTCCCATAAATCCCCAACTCTCCGTACACCGTGTTTCACCCATCCCTTCCATGGAGTGTTCGAGTTGCACCGTACCCGCCCTTCGGGGTCTGTTCTTAGTCGGTTGCCAAAGAGGGGTTGCCTGAATATTTCTTCCCACCTTTATGGCGCAGGACGGTCGGGGGGGGGATTTTTCTCCAGGTACGTAAAAGGCACGCCCAATGTTTGTCAGCAGGGTCCCCGTTTCTATACTTCCTAGGCAGCCTCCAGTACCTGTCCTCTAACCATACTCGAGGGTCAATCTCCGGTGGGGTTTCCGGGGCCACGTCTAAAAGTTGGGCCAGGGGTAAGGGTACCCATAGGGATAAAGGTGAGAAGATAATATGCTGGATCCAGTGGATTGTGAGGGCGTGAAATTGTGTAGCCGGATCCAGGAT